GAATGTGGAATCGGGTCAAAGAAAGGCTGAGGCTTCGTTGGAGTGTGAGAAAGCTGTGTTCGCGGTGTATCGAACACCAAGAGTTTGACTCTGACTTCCGTCAGGTGCGGCCAGTGAGCTGTTGTTGGCGGTGACCGGGGAGGACATAAGTGTAGTTGAAGAATGGGACGTGGGACCATCTGTGATTGGAGATTGAGCAATGGGGACAGTAGATCTGATAGACATAACAAGAGTGAAGGCAGTAGTATGGTCCATTCATGATTCATCAGTAGACATGATACTACTCGGTTGCCCAAGCCGAAATAGATAGGGGCTCTGCTCTGAGCCTTTGAGCAAGGATCTAAAATACAAGGCAGTAGTGTGATATGGAGGCGCCGCTACCCAATAGGAGCCGGTGACCAAGCAGTTGGGTCATACGCCTTTAGGAACGTAAAGGGCATGGGACCCAACACACCTTTGAATTACAATGTCACTCAGAGGCTAGGAGCAATGGGTTTATTTAGTAGCGAGTCACATCCGCCACGCCACAGTGTTGTTGAGCGGACATATGGGGCTTTTATAGGGAGAACGCTTGCCAGACGAAAACTCACCACGTCCTGGAACCACTGCCGCTGAACCATTCGCTGTAATGTGATCTTCCGGAATCACTTACCTGACACCACAAAGAAGTTGTTCGGCCAGCCAGTCAGCTTTAGGTCGACTGATGAACCGGCAGACCAGATGCTGACGGACGTAGCTGTTGGCTGCCTCAGAGAGCGCTTTTCGGCACCATCCAGAGGCACGAAGTGCCAATATCTGCGTGTTGCTCGACTATGCTATGCAATGGAGTTCGCCAAGTTGGCTTCAGTAAATCCAAAGTCTTTCTTCACCTATATCAGGAGGAGGACTAATTTAAGCTCACTCCTTCCAATTTTGATTGGTTCCCACGGCGCTGCTGCTGACACGGATCGCGCAAAGTCCTATCTATTTGCGGAAAAGTGTGCGGGGACATTTCCTACGAAATCTTGTTTGTCGTCTATTTATTCAAAGACGGGAGTTCCGACTGACTCTGCTGCATTACAGAGACTCAGGTGCTCGTGATATTATGGGAACTAAATCCCACTAAAGTAGTTGTAGCAAATTCTGTTTCCCACGATTTATCGTATGAACTCACAGCTGAGCTTTGGGAGCTGATCCTTTCTCCACACTTTTTGAATGGGTAGAAGCGACCGAATGCCTCATTTTCAATAGGGGTCACAAACGCCTTCTTGAGAACTACAAATCACCACAGATGGCGGAGATTGGCAAAAGCGCATCGACCTTTTATATCTAGTTCTTGATCTCATCTTCCGTTCCACTGGCACTGATATAGCTGCCCAGATACCTGAATTTCTCGACGACTTCTAAATTATCACCGCCAAGGGTCAGTGCAGGAGTGGGTCCTCGCCGATCTTGGAGGACTTTGCATTTCTATGGTGCAAAGCATCGCCCGAAACGACTGACAGTCAGAGCTAATTTATCCATTGCAGTTTGGTACTTTTGGGGGCTGTCACAGATGAGCGCAATCTTGTCGGCATACTCCAACACGAGAAGTCGTTCCCCAGGGAGCAGCTCCACATCTGTGTCGGGCCCGGCGAACGCCGTCTCCATGACTTCATCAACGGTGAACTTCAATAGGAAAGGTGACAGCGGGTGACCGCTGGAGCTGTTGAGGGGCGACGACAGCTTGCCGTAAACCCTCATTCTGCCCGAGCTTCGCATGTATAGCGCTCGGATAATGTTTGCATGTTTCTCGGGCACATCTTTCCTGAGTAAACAGTCCCAAAGGGCATACCGATCAATCAAATCAAGGCCCCCTTCGATGTCTAGGAACACGACTACGGCGGGTCGCCAATAAACATGGCGGTGCTCCAACAACTGACGTAATGTGAAGATGTGGTCAATGCAGTCTACATTTCGACGAAACCGGGTTTGCTCGTCGCACACTTAGCTTTCACGAGTGCCACTCAGCCGATGCCACTAAAAATGACAACTTTGGATCGTAGTGCGTTAGCATCAATTCTGAGCTTAATGACGACTTGATCCTGTCGAAGGCTTCCTGACATTCGGTAGTCCAGATCCACGGAACATCACTTCATCAGCAACCGGTTTAATGGTCCGCGTAAGTCGTGCATGGACGGCAGGTAGGTACTCTAATAACATCATAACCAGGAATGATCTCAACGTCGTTACGTTAGGCAGGGGCATTTCTTTAATCGCCTATCTTGTTTGATAGATCTGGTCTTCGTCCGTTTTGGTCATTGATAAAGCCGAGGTATTTAATACAGGCTTTGAAAAATTCACACGTGTCCATTCTTAGGCGAATACCATTCTCCGTTATCCTGTCAAGCAGGTGTTCTGTTCGTTGGTGCAATTCTTCTTGATTAATTCCCAGGATAATGACATCGTCCAGGTACGCTGAGGCATCTGGTATTCCCTGTAACATCGTATCCATGATATGCTGAAAGATTGCTGGGGCCGACTTGGCGCCAAATGGTGGGCGTGTATACTGCAGTTGCCCTCTGTAAGTGTTAATCATTAACAACTCACGCGATTCCTCTCACATTTCACTCTGTAGATGTGCGTCTGATAAGTCCAGACTACTGCGCAACTCTCGACCCAGGAATTGTCGTTCTTCACTATGGCTGGAATCATACGATATCAAGTGGCGTTTGTCCATCAGCAACAAAGAGACGACGAAAATCCAATTTTTCGGTGGGTAACGGGCGACTCCACAAGTGTCGATACTGGCGGAAGCTAATGCAACTTTGCTCTGCACGCATTGCGATTCCAGGTCACCGTCAGAAGTTGCGCCAAGCAATGTTGACAGTGAAACTTGTTACCTGGTTAAGATTGCAGAGTTTCGTATATTTGCGACGTTCAGTTGGTACTGAGTGCGCTTGGGTGATTCTCCGAAACGCATGCAAATCTTAACACGAACCAATTTGTGATCGGAGTCCAGAGCAGTTGACCAGTACAATCGGCCGTCCGTTACGCTTCCGCGTCATCTGTACCTGATTGCTATGTGGTGAAGCTGGGACCAACCGTGCGTTTGGGAGGAAGGCACCAGCTAGCAGTCTCCGAGTGTCGAAAACTAGTGCCCCAAAGACACAAGCGATGATTAGAGCAAAGGGCCAGCAGTCTGTCTTCATTGTCTGATCGACTGCTACCGAGGCCAAAACTACCCCATGGCGGCCCACCCATGCGTTAATATCTCCGGAAGGAATGACAATATCAGTCCTTTTGCAGAGGCGCAGGTCATGTAGCTGTTGGTAAAAGTCATCCTTGATTGCACCCGGGCTACAGTGTAGTGGCGTAGACGGAGACGACAAACAAAGCACGCTTAATGTCTCGACGCCTGCTTGCATTACATGTATCTTTTACTCAGACTGTGCATAGTCGACTGCTGACTGGTATCCAGTCAAGCAGAGCTGATTCAGCCCTGGCACTCAGCGCAACCCTAACACCAGTTTGACTAGAGGCGGTAGCCTCTGGGTCCTTGGAAAGGCACAAGTGGTATGTGACATCAAGGTGTACCGGAGAGGCCATTCTGATGACGGCGTTAGAGTCTTGCAACCTGGTTTCGGAAAGGCAGCATATATCTCCCGAGAGCGTTTCAAAAATACGGGCCAAGCATGCTTGTCGTCCAGTCTGCATCAAAGTGCGAACATTAAACTGCGAAAATGAATGGAGAACCAGGTGAAAGAAAAGCTGGGGCTTCGGTGGAGTAAGAGACGGTTGCGATCGCGGAAACCAGGAGTTTGGCTGCAACTCCCAACAGTTGCGATCAGCGGGTAATTTGTGGCGGTGACTGGGAAGGATGTAAGAGTACGTGTTGGTAAAGGACTAGAGGTGGGGTGATCTACGAGTGGAGGTTGAGGAGTTAACAGAGTTGGTAGACATAGCAGGGCAAGAATTAGTACAGCATTATGGTCCATGATTCGTCAGCGGGCGTGATACTGGCTGATTGCCCAGGCCGAAATAACGGGTGGTCTTAGGGGGACCTACCTCGATCCTTGGGTCAAAAATCTAACCTACAAGGTAGCAGGGCAATGTAAGGGCTTCGCAACGCGTTGGAAGCCGGTGACCAAACAAATGGTTCATGGGCCTTTCGCTCCGTGAAGGACCTAGGGATCACTGCACTCTTGAAGTACAACGGCACTCAGGGAGAGGAATGAGGTGGTGACTTTATTTAGTGACGGGTCACATCCGCGGCGTCACAGTGTTAGACGGACCTTTATGACTTTTTATAGGACGAATCCCTGCCCGGCGAAAACGCACCAGGTCCTGGAACACCTCTGCCGAACCATTTTCTGAAACGGAAATAACCCGAACCACCCAGCTGAAGCCACAAGGAGGTTGTTCGGCAAGCCAGATGCTCGGACGGTAGTTGTTCAGCTGAACTATCTGCAGCTGTTCAACTGCTCAAATCCACTAGGTGCAGGCCACATAACGGTTTACCCATGCAACGCGCGACGTGCAGTGGTCGCGTATCAGCGGGGTGTTGGTACGGTGTTCCAGCCTACTGCCTTTTCGAACGTCAGCTTGATGCTCTTTTATGGCAATGCCAAACTTTCCCCTTCTACGATCAAAGTTGCATCTTCAGCTTTCTCTTGTTTTCTCTTCATTTCATATTATTATTATTATTATTATTATTATTATTGTCGTAATTTTGTTGAGCGTGCTCTTTTCGACACTCTTAGACACGGACTCAGTTTTTCTTTATTTGCTTCGTATGTTTCGTTTTCCTCGCATACGACAACTTCATGAGCCGTGTTATGAATTGTAGTGGAGAATCCAGAGGATCCCATAAACGTCCATCAGCTCCTTGCACTTTTGTGCGACTTATTTGTTGTCTCCCATGCTGACACTTCGTAGGCTGTGGTGATATACGTCAGCTCATGCACCTCACTTTCCCCCCAGCTCTTCGGTGACACTCGGGGGAACATTGTTGCGGCTCAAAGACATACTGTTCTCTTTTCCAGCCTACCGGTTGTTCCTTCTACCACCCGGTCATTCAATGCTACACTAAGTGTTCCCGTATTCATAGCATTCACCTATGTCTTGTGATATTCTTTGCTCTCCGAATGATAATCAAAATTTCATTTTGGTCTGGAAGAATGAGTTTTATTTGTTCTCAATCTCCGAAAACTCCACAAAAGAACAGACAGATGGAGGTAAGATAAACGTTATATTAACTTTTTAAGCCTTCTCTTTGGGTCCCCATGGTCTTTTTAGAGTTTCAATTATCGGAATTTGGCACAACTCAGTTTTCCCACAGGTACGTCCCGGTTCTTTTCATTTTTCAGTGTATCTCATGGGCGCCTACTCTTGACGGGTGTGGGATTTTGCACCCTGAAGGAAATGCAGAACGTCTAATTGCTGTTAGCACTTCTGGGGGCGAAATCAGACTCCTCGGGTAATTCGATTCGATTTCTACTGAATTCTCCTCCAGAATTAATGGTTACGATCCAGATCGTGATAGATTCGGGTTACACAACAAGACGTTGAGTAAACGCCCCCTAACGTTTTCATCCATTCAGTTTCTAGGTCCCCTCGTAGTTCGTTGTATCTTGCTTGGAACCCATGGAAGCGAAACTTGGTGAGTATTTTCATTTTGACTGTTCTATAGCCCTTTCTAACACTAAACATCATTACCTGCTATTGCGTTAGGGGTCTCGGTTTTTGTATTTTGAAATTAACTAGTGGTATACGTAATTTATATCCCTCTAATAAAAGTCAGGCCTGTTGAACGCGTTCTATTCTATCCCGTGTTGATATTTTGTCTTTTCGCTTTCCTACTTCGATTGTTGCGTTATCCATCTTATGTCTAGCATTTTGGGCCTGCGGCTTCGGATGTATGAGTATCTGATTCTGGACCAATTTTACTATGTATTACCACTTTTGTATCCCTCAAAAGAAACGCGCATCTAAAAATGGTTAAGTCGGCCATCGTGATTGCACAGCGGCTCACTAGTCCTCGTAAAAGTAATAAAACGGTGCAGCTGGTTTCTGCCAGACAGCATTTTTTGGTCACAACTACTCACGTGATTAAACGTGATCCTGTCTAAAAATAGGCTGTTACGGGTGTTTTGTCTCACTTGAGTGCCACCTTTGATTCTGTTGTCACACCTCTCCGCGATCATGCTTCTCTTTTACGACCATGCCAAAGGAATATCCTCCTATTCTGATTTCTTTTCATCGCGCCTCCCGAGGCCGCGGAAGGCTCTACTGGAAAATGTTTGCTTAGTTCACAGCGACAAGTATAGTGCATCAGAGTTCTATTATCTTTCGCCTTTTCTTTAACCTAGCAATTGTGATGGTCATGAATGACCACTTCTTCTGCGGCCGCAATTGCCGTTGACCATTGATAGCGAGGAACTCGAGGTAGTTGATCAATTCACTTACCTTGGTAGCTGCATCAACAACCATGGGCACATAAGCGCTTAAGTTAGTTCACGTATTAAAGAAGCTTGAATTGTCTTCTTGAATCTGCGAAATCTGATGCGTCAGGCAGGGTTTTCCTCGGTCTTAATATTGCGTTCACAACGCCACAGTGAGGGCATTCCCACTCTGTGAGTGACACTTCGCCCCCTCGGTCTGAGGAACTGAAACACCTTCAAGTCTTTGAGCATCGCCACCTGCGAAGCATTGCTGGTGCCGGATGGCACCAGCGTGTCCGTAACGATGATGTGCGTGGGCGATTGGTATGCAGTGATTATCAGGGTAATTTCTTAGATAAACGGAATATGCATAATAAATTGTGTTGGCTTGGGCAGGTACTACTATAACTACTGACCGCTTTCCAAGGAAGACTTTGTTTTGTTTGCCAGATGTAGGGTGGCGCAACGCCTGAGGTGGGCAAAAATTAACTTAGCAACGAGAAATGAAGCTAATGGGTTCCGTCGGCTCGTTTCGCATTTCAGGCTGGAATCCATGTGACCCACTTTGTGCTTCAACTCATATCAGTTGATCAACTATGATCCAAGCACCGAGCTGCGGTGGATCCAGTTGCCACGACTCACATCGCAAGCCTAACAATAAGTAAAAACGACGAGATAGTGAGGCTAAAGGCAAATAGAATGTAAAGCAAATGGAAGCAAGAAGAAATAAGTGCATTAAACTACTCAGAATGGGACGAACATTATCAACAAGATGCAGGAGAACGAATGCAGGAACGCCACCGACCGCATGACTGCGCCATGTCCGATACGTTCTCCAGCCATCGGTGTGGACCATCCCGAGGCTCTCATCCAGGAAGCCAGCACGCACCAACCTGACCAAATCTCTCAGTCAGTTTCTTCATGTTTCTATGTCACGTCATGGACTGTTACGCTTCCGCGCCATCTGTATCTTGTTGCTATTTGGTCAAGCTGGTCAAGCTTCGGTTGAGTGAGGATGTTCTGACCAACGGGCAATGAACACCAAATGTTTGGCTCAAAGCTCTGTCAGACGCGACCAGTGAGCTGTTGTTGACGGTGACCGGGGAAGACAGGTGCAGTTGAGGAACGGGACGTGGGACGATCTGTGGGCGGATGTTGAGCAGCAGAGACAGTAAAGCCAGTAGACATTGCAAGATGAAAAGCAGTAGTGTAATCCATTCATGGTTCGTCAGTGGGTGTGATACTACCCGGTTGCTCAGACCGAAGTAGTGGGTTGTCTTAGGGGGCTCCACCCCGAGCCTTTGATCCAGGATCTACCCTACAAGACAGCAACACGATATGAGGGTATCGCAACCCGTTGGGAGCCAGTGACCAAACAAATGGTTCATATGCCTTTAGGACCGCATAGGACCAGGGTCCCAACACACCTTTGAATTGCAATACTGCCCTGAGAAAGGTAAGGAGCAGTGACTTTATTTAGGGTCGAGTCACATCCGCCACGTCACAGGGTTGTTAAACGGACATATGTGGTTTTTTATAGGGAGAACACTTGCGAGACGAAAACCCACCACGTCTTGGAACACTGTCGCCGGACCATTCCGTGGAACGGGATAATCCCGAACCACCCAGCTAGTTATCTCAATCCGCCTTGCTACGTTCAAGCATTATCACCCGATATCACCTGCCACTTTGGATACATGCCGCCTGTCGTCTTCTCTACTCTGAACTTTACTGTGTGTTTCCCACGTGATACTTGTGTGCAGCGCTCCCCTGTTATATTTGAGCCCTTCATGTCGCTTGTGCTTTAGTCTGAGTGCAATCCATGCGTTGATTCCGTTCACACACCCACGGCGCGGTGCGTCGTGACTTTCGTGTGGCTATACGTCCCGTTATCTAACTTATTATCTGAGCGCGCCTCGTGAGCCGCACTCTCATGTACGATATTCGTTTGAAGCCCAACTTGTTGGTTATTTATGTGAGCTGTCGATTTTCGTGTTGCTTTGGACAACGGGAGTGCAGTCGTTTAGGTTTCATTGTTTTTATCGCTAAAGTATTATAAGTAGTACGTTATCCTTTTCCGGCCATGGTGTTGGTTTGATTCCTTTGGAAACGCATGACTGAATCTTTCCAAGGGAATTTCGTCGCTTACAGTTACTTAAACTTGCTGTAAAAGCTCTTAATGTGTCCGCTTATCCTGGAGTAGGGGTTCTGTGTAATGAAACACTGTCAAACCGAGAGTACGTGAACGACAGCTTTCGTTTTCTCGAATCCATCTGATATACCAGTTATACTGCCTAGTCTGGTGCTTGGCGCTATGTGCTTCTACATGTGCTCTGCACCATCGCAATGAGGCTAGACCTTTCCGTGGTTTGTATGCCTCAGTGATCCATTGAGCTATGCTGGTTGGTGCACTTTTTGCATCTTCAGAACCACTAATACCAGCTTGGTCATTGTTTAGAGGCCAGACAAACACAGCCTCCTGGTCCTCCAGGTTGGGTGTTAGAATGAGGATAGCTCCTTATTCCTTAAAACGGGCTCCTTGTAGCCTAACGCCAAACCCGCTGACTTGCGGTCAGGTTTTTGAACCAAAGGCTTTGGTTGAGAATCCTGGGCAACTTGACAGTATCCTGCCCACGCAATCCTATGTATCTTTCACCAAACAATTTCCTGATTCTCTGGCCACCGCAGATGATAATCAACGGTACCCTTATCTGCTGCATCGAGCAGGGTGAATAGGGCTTTGGATGCTACTGCTTGAGCCTTTCCGTCTACTTACTCCCCCACATACGCATTTTCACCCTTACCGTCCCGTTCCAGCCTCAATTTTATCCCCCAATTCTGGGTCCTCCCCCATTTTACTTCAGTAGCGCTTGGCTCCTAGTTTCAACTCACATGTCAACGCGGAGCGTCATTCCTGCCCTGTCAACAGGCTCATGTCCAATCAAGCGGTCAAGCCCAGTTCATCGGCTTCTATTTGGAGCCCTCGATCCTCCTTCCCATTGGCATGCCTCAATGTACGCACATTGCTACAGATTGGTCAACAGGCAACACTTACCCGAAGATTAGAGACCCTATCGAACGATATCTGCTGCTTATCGGAGACTCGCCTGCAAGACTCGAGCTCTGTACTCACTTTGCGATCCCCTTCAGGTGACACTAACAGCACTCTCATTGCGCCTATCCGGTGACGATGCAGCTTCGAGCACCGGCCAAGCCAGTGTTGCCCTGAGTCCCCGGGCTGAAGCTACTCTGGTTGATTAGTTCCCAATCTGTAGCCAGATGTGTGCGGTCCGATTGACTGGTTCGTTCAAAGCTTCGAAGTTGCGTGGGACTAACAGGTATCTATTCGTTATCGCTGCCTATGCACCCACAAACTCTAGCGATGATTCGGTAAAAGACGACTTCTACCGCCAACTGACCGAGCACTTTCGTCACAGAAGGAGCTCGGACACTGTAGTGCTGGCTGGGGATCTGAACACTCAAGTTGGAAAATTATCCACTGATGAACTGCATCTGGGCGACCAACATGGTGTAGGCACTCGTAATGATAACGGTGAGCCGTTACTTCATTTGCGTGAAGATGCTCGCTTATTTATTGCGTGCCCTAATTTCCGACCCAGCACCCGCCGGAGGTTGACTTGGCGCCCACCAGCCTCCAATCAGGTATGGACACAAATCGATCACATTGCGATAAGTTACCGATGGGAAGGCTGCGTCCAGAACTGTCGCTCGATTTGGAACACATGTGTGGACACCGACCATACACTTGTATGTGCTGACCTGCGGATGCGTTTTGGCGGATGCCCACGACGACTTTATGACCGCATTGACACCAGCCAACTGGCGAAGCCAGCTGTTCTGAATGCCTACCAAAGTACACTGTCATGGATCTTGAGTAAACGTTCACTGGATACAACTGAAGCTGAATGGTCTCATATTCACCAGACCTTACTAGCAGCAGGAAAATCCTCATGTGGTAAGTCTAATCGCAGAAGCTCGAGGCGCATTTGCTAACCTTCACCACTTATGGCGCCAGCGCGACATGACTCTCGCCCTGAAGGGCAGAATGTGCAATGCAGCGGTACATTCGGCCCTATTGTATGGTTGTGAATCCTGGCTCCTTGGATCAGCGGACATAAAGAGGCTAGTTAGGTTCGGCCACCAGGGCCTTCGCAAGTTGGCTCACATCTGGTGGGAACACCGCGTGTGTAACGAGCGTGTTCGACGCCTTGTTTACGGCACAGGAAAAGGTAATGAACCGCTCAGCACAGTCATTTCACGCACCAGGCTCCGATGGCTGGGCCACGTGTTACGCATGCCAGCCCACCGGCTCCCGCGATATGCGTTTTTTGCGCGCCGAGGTTGCGGATGAATGAAGGTGTGGTGTGGCCAAGCGATGGCTTAGTCGAGAGGAATGAAGTACCTCACTTCGAAGCTGGCCTCAGTTGGAGCATCTCGGCTCCCTGATTAGGTCCGAGAGATGATGAACATGTTTGGCTGGATACACTTGTTGATATGGCTAGGAGCCGACCTCAGTTGCGTTCCTGCTGTGAGCTTCTTTGTTTCACTCCATCCGTCTTAGCCTCCTCCTCCAACTACGAGCTCAGTATTTAGTCTTATATAATTTTGCCAAGTAATTTTGTTGCTGCGTAGTAGCCGGCTGGTAGCTTACCGGAACGATGCCCATCCGGTACCGACATCTCAGCTGGCTTGCACCTGCGGCATTTTCTCTCCTTTTTTCTTCTATATATTGCGGCACAGTAGCTTAGATGTTTCCCACCTCTAGCTAACGTGTATAATGATGATGTTGATGATGATGATGGATGATGATGTTGATGATGATCTGCACCTTTAACACGCAAAGTATTGATGTCAAGCTGTACCGACTCACCACTCTTTGCGATCGTCAGCGATCAGTCGCTTATTGGACTCGTCATTAATGCACATTCCTTCGGTCCCCTGCTGGAAATCGAATCCATGATCGCTAATGGCTTGCACCACTAACCATTAGTTTATGTTACTGAGCCATGGAGGACGATACACTTGTTTTTGGCCTTATACACTTATTTGCATAGCTTAGAGCCGACCTTAGTAACATTTGTATTGTCAGTTTCTTTGTCTCTTCCCTCACTTAGCCTCCCCCTCCAACTACGATTTCATTTGCTAGGAATAATGTAACTTCTTTGCGACACAATAGCCGGCTGTTAGCTGTCCGGAACGTTTTCCATCCGTTACTGCTGATTCCGCCGGCATGTATCTGTTGCTTCTCTTCTTTTGTATTGCGACACAATAGCTGAGGTGTTTTCCACCTCTAGCTAACGCGTATAACGATGATAATGATGATCCGTCGCTTAAAATGACCAATCGGTTTGTTCATCTAAGAATCCACATGCACTCTATCGGCCATATTGCCAAGCTTCGTACGATCCTACGATACATAAGTCGTCTGAGAAGACGGCGGATGCGAGTTTGCCAATTAAAAGAAAGGTTTTCAACACGCTATTGTGACTAGTCTTGCTATTGGCGTCTGCGGCGCGATACTCTTACCTGATGGGTCTGTCGAGTGCATTATACTTTTGTTCGACATTTTGCGGTAGGATCTCAAGGGTCACTTTTTAAACAACCATCCACGCTGCTTTTGTCTTGTTGTTCACATTCTTGTCGGCCGCCTGCTCTGAGCATGTTGTTGCTGCCAGTACACTCTTGTTGAAACCCCATTATAACTAATCGACACTGGCTGAAACATGAAGATACGGACGAAAAGACTTGATCGGGCTGTTGCAAGCCGTCATGTTAACTGGGGACTTTGAGCTTCATTGGTTACAGATCTTATCGAACATTGCATGACAGGCGCTTCAACACTGCTCTTACATTCGACCCATTTTGCCGTTTCCTGAATCCGTGTTGTAACCCATGTTTCATCCGTTTTGCTCTTTCTCGTGTTTCATTTCCTCCAATACCGATATTTGTTTTAATGGTCAACCTCCCAGAACAGTCCCATCCGGCAAAGTTCATCATGGTGTTATAGGACCACTAGCCGTTTACTAGCCCTTTGACGCCTGAGTACGAGATGGTCCATCATCTATCTTGAACATCGATAGCCCTTTGGATCTCGCCTATATCTCTGGTGTTGCGTTGATCCATCCTCTCTAGATTGGAGCTTTCTTCGTATTGGCCATGTGTAACAGACCGTTACGATAACGAGATCTGACCCATTTTGTCTGAGTATATCAGGTGTCTTCAGGCTTTCAACGACCTTTGCTCATGGAGAATTGTTTGTCAATTAGTGCCAACTTTTCAGAACGATGTGGTGCGCAGGGTAGTGATAACGATGATCACATCAGTTCTTTAGATAAGCTTATAATAGTAGACGAGCTGCAGTGTTTCGGTGATGAGCTTCATTCTGTCCATCTCGCTGGAAGATTTAAGACTGTGAAAAACAACTTTTAATCTGATGGTGGGAACCCGTCTCTAATCAATATCTTCGGTACTAACTGTTCATCTCGTCCAACACGCGAGAGTGCATTTGACTCATACTGCTTAGATTGAGACCGTACTGGACATAGTTCGAGGTAAGCTCCAGTATCACCCGTTGTCATATCCTAACCCGACTATCTGCTCCAGGTTTGTATTGCACTTATTTATTTATAGACTAGTCTAGTTTGTCGCACCAAGTAGCGAAAGTTGGTTATCCGATACTGCCTTATCTTCAAACTATTTATTAGTGACCATGCAGTGTTGGCAAGGTGTAACCTGGCTGCTTGTCAAATACCACGTCGCACGTGACACAACCAAGAATCCAGTGACGCTATTTCATTAGTGCTCTTATTTTTGGCACCTAGATTCCCGGTCAGAACCCTGTCCGGAGGGCAGCATCTAGAATTTTCGGGAAGTATGCATTATTTATTTGTTTATTACTCAGTTATCTTTATTTTTGCTCATATCATCAGTATTTTGGTCACGTAGACTATGGTGGCTTGATCCACTGCACTTTGGTGCACGTAGACAAGTCGACTAAAGTGCCTTGATCCTGAATGTTTGCTTGGGACCTTTAGGTGTCACCAGTTTGTTTTTATGCCTATTTCTCATTGGTGTCGAACCGAGAGCTAAGTGTTTTGGTCATTCGAATCTCAGGTTGCATAGGTGTTGGTGTCCTCACAGTGTTTTAGCCCGCGTGCAACCATTGGTGTTTTCATAACAGCTAAGTGACGACACTTCGTTCTGGCGTACTGACGGCACCTTTTCCTTACTAGCAGGCTAATTATGCTTAACTACCAGTGCGTGGTCGACGATGCGATCTCAGACAATTGGGCTCACAAGATTTGTATGCTTATCTCATGATTGTTTAACTGAACCGAATTGCTGATGAGTAAGAGTATTTTGATGGACTGATTTAAATCACTTTCCTTGCTTTAATGCATAGGTCTTAACCTTGCTTATCGTTCTTCAGTTGGCACAGGGTGTGGACAGGTCACGCTCCCTTCGTGACCCGTGTATTTTGATTTGGGATGTCACCAAGTGTACTGAGAGTCGTCCCGTGCCTCAGCCGAACGCTGCTGGTAAGCATCTTGCTTCGCTTCATTGACAGATTTGTTCGTAGGCGAAAATGCAGTTGTGGCAGGTCATTCTACTGCTAACAGCTCGCCGAAGATAAGACAAATTTATTCCTCCCGGGACGTGCGTTGCCCGACCAACATCGTCAGACCAGTGATGACCTGTGATCGGTCAGTTTGTGATTTGGGTAAGACATATCTCCTTACTTGCGTCGTATTCTTGCATTTCTCGTCAAGCACTTTTGTTCTTGTGGTATGGATATCTTATACCCGGTTGTTTCAGGCACACTATAACTTCACACGACGTATCACTCACATTATTCATTCTCTCTTGCCGCAGCTAATTTGGCATGTAGTATTTTGTCGCTTTTGTTTAACTAGACTTGTATGACTGACGGGTGCATACCTTTATGGTCTAACGTTATCGAAGCTAGTTTCCCTCTCCCCGTGACATTATGTCGAGTTCCCTAGTCCTTTCTATTGGAGACGGGATGCATGTACCTTATAATTAGCCCTGGCTGTCAGCCGCTTCGAGTTTTGCTTTGCACCATCGAAGTGCAAAGCGTTCCTCCAATATTGGCCTGGACCGCCTCCTACGCTGACCCTTGGTGGCGATCAGCTAGAAGTCGTTCAAAAATTCAACTACCTGGGAAGTTGCACCAGCGTTCGTGGGATTGAAGATGAAATCACGAACCGTATAACAAAAGCAGGAGGCGCATTTGCTAACCTTCACCACTTATGGCGCCGGCGCGACATCACTCTCGCCCTGAGGGGTAGAGTGTGCAATGCAGCGGTACATTCGACCCTACTGTATGGTTGTGGAACCTGGCCCCTTAGATCAGCGGACATAAAGAGGCTAGTTACGTTCGACCACTGGTACCTTCGCAATTTAGCTCACATCTGGTGGGAACACCGCGTGAGTAACGAGCGTGTTCGACGCCTTGTTTACGGCACAGGAAAAGGAAATGAACCGCTCAGCACCGTCATTTCACGCACCAGGCTCCGATGGCTCGGCCACGTGTTACGCATGCCAGCCCACCGACTCGCGCGACGTGCGTTGTTTGCGCGTCGGGGGTGTGGATGGAATAAGAGGAGGGGTGGCCAAGCGATGGCTTAGTTGAGAGGAATGAAGGTCCTCACTTCTGAGCTGGCCTCGGTTGGAGCATCTCGGCTCCCTGGTTGGGTTCCGGAAGACGATGAACATGTTTTGTTGGACACGTTTGCTGATATGGCTAGGAGCCGACCTCAGTGGCGTTGGTTCTGTGAGTTTCTTTGTCCCACCCCATCCTCCTTAGCTTCCTCCTCCAACCACGATCTCATTATTTAGCTTTATATTATTTCGCATAGTATTTTTTTATGCACAGTAGCCGGCTGGTGGCTTACCGAAACGATGCCCATCCGTTACCGTTAACTCAGCCGGCTTGCACCAGTTGCATTTTTTCTCTCTCTCCTTTTTTCTTCTATATATTGCGGCACGGTAGTTGAGATGTTTCCCACCTCCAGCTAACGTGTATAATGATGATGATGATTATCATTTTATAATTTTGCATAGGAAATTACTTTTTTGCTGGTTAGTAGCCCATCCGTTTCCGGGATCTCAGCTAGCTTGCACCTGTAGCATTTTATTCCCTTCTTTTCTTTATGTTTTGCGGCTCAGTGGCTGAAGTGTTTCCCATCTCTAACTAACGTTTATAGTGTGTGTGTGTGTGTGTGTGTGTGTGTGTGTGTACTTTGCCCACTACGGACTGAACTTGTCCTCACGTAGGACCCGGCGTCCTGCGACCTTCAGCAATCCGGGAAGTGGATGCAACTAATCGTATATTCTCCGTTCGTCACCTGGGGATACTTGCTGCACACACACCCTGAAATAAGTCTGTATGCTTGTACCTTCACTCCCTTTTCGTTATTTCTATTGCATCTGGACTCTATTTTACTTCACACATGCATCGCCCGTTTTCTCGACAAATCTTTTAAACTCGCAACGTTCTATCCTTTCGGTAGCTTTAATCCTTGTTTAGGTATGCTTGTTGCTTAACAGATCATCTAAACATGTAGTGTGTCCAGGTGCTTTGTTGTCTGGTAAGCCTCCCCTACTGTGTATATCAACTGTGTATGTCAAGCATTCTTTACTTCCTCTGGTTGGCACAGTGTTGGTCGTAGCTAATTTGTGTGGCGAACCCGAGTCTGTGTGCTCACGGTTACTTCATGCATGACATTCCCGAACTTGCCTTTGATCATACCAGGTGTCCACCTTGCGTGACCTGCCCGATAGTCCCTCACCAGCACTGTCTGCCCTGGCATGAACGATCGTTGCCTAACCCGATTCCATTCTGCGGTTCCTTTCGCCAGCAGTGGGCAACGGGCTTGGTCGAATGGCATCAAATGATATATGCAGCTTTCTTGCCTGTGTTGGCGAGACTCCACCCTGTACTTGTGGGCTTTGATGTTGAGCGGTATAGGAAAAGGAATCGGTCAGTCCCCTCTATGGTTTCTTCCACCTTCGCTTTGAGAGCTCGCTTGAAGGTATCCACGAATCTCTGCCTGGTCATTCGATTATGGGTGTCAACGACGGTGAGCGGGTGTGCTGGAGGACGCATTGTCTGCAGAACTCCATGGAAAGTGCTGTGGTAAACTGCGTGCTGTTAGCGGTTACAAGTGTTTCTGGACAATCGAATCTGGCGAAGATTTGCCGTACTTTTGTTGCGGTTGCTCGGGCCGATCTACTGTTCATCATTAACATTTCAGGCCATTTGCTGTAAGGGTCGACAGCAATGAGAAAACTGGCCGTTGATTGGTACTGCGAGATCGACATGTACGCGGCACCATGGTTGCCTTGGTTTCGGCCCATGAATGGTGTTCCGTCTTTACTGGTGCCCTTGAAACAGCAGCGCACTTGTGGTAACTGTTAGCCATTACTTCCAGTTGCCTTTCCATGAATGGCCAGTACACAAAGCTTCGAGCAAGCGCCTTCATCCGGTTGACCCCAGGATGTCCAGCATGGAACTGCCTAAGTACAAGCTTTTGTAGTGCCTTTGGGATGACAACACGTTCCGAGAACAAAATGCTGGCGTCAGCGAGGGAGATTTCATGCCTCCTTTGGTAGTACTGCTGCCATTCGGCTGATGAACATGTGGGTAGCCAACTCATCCTGTTGAATTGTGCGACCATCTTGAGCACAGAGTCACGAAGTGTTTCTGCTCGTACAGCTTCTGCAGTCACTGGTAGGTCACGTAATACGTCACTCACAAGAAATCTGACGTCCGGTTCAAGCTCAACTGCGGCTATGATCTTGTCTTCTTCGTCTTGCTGATGGGAGTCTATGAGGCGTGACAGTGCGTCCGCTTGGCCCATGGAAGCGGTTGTTTGGTAGCTGATCTCAAAATCATAGCTCAGCAGAGTGAGCGCCCAGCGTTGGAGACGGTTAGCCATGTAGGCAGGGATGCCCTTCTTCGAGCCGAAGATGACCAGCAATGGTTTGTGATCAGTCAGTAGTTTGAATTTGCGAACATATAACATCTTATGGAATTTCTTCACTCCAAAGATTGTGGCTATTGCTTCGTTTTCGATCTGGCTCTAGTTTTGCTCGGCTTCTGTCAAAGTCCTAGCTACGTGAGAGATCGCTTTCTGTGATCCATCCGGGTACAAATGCGAAATCACTGCTCCGACCTCGTGATTCGATGCTTCCGTTGTACGTATGATCTCCTGGGTTAGGTCGTAATGAGTCAACAACAAATCTGAAGCTAGTAATGACTTGATTCGTTCAAAGGTTCGCTGGCACTCGCGTCTTGTTCCAGGCGTGACCTTTGATCAAAAACCTGTTCAGCGGAGCACGCAGGCGGTGCAGCTCAGGCAAAAATGCTCTGTTGTGACTGATGAGGCCACAGAATGAACGCAGTGATTGAACCTCTGCTAGTGGAGGCATCTTCCTCATGGCTTCGATGTTTGCCGGATCTGGTCGACGGCCATTCTTTTCTAGGATAAAACCAAGGTATTTGATGGTCGGAGTGAAGCAATTACATTTGTATTCACGAATCCGGAAACTATAAGACTGGATACGAACAAGCACCCTTAAGCGGTCAAATAATTACTCCGTTGTCCGGCCCATTACGATAATCTCTTTCAGGTATGCGGCGGCTCTAGGAACTCCTGCCAACATGGTATCCATCAGCAGTTGAAAAATGGATGGGCAGTTTTTACGCCGAAAGGCAAGCGGTTGTAATGGTACAACCCACGGTGGGTGTTGATCGTCAATAACTCGTTCGAGCCCTCGGCAACATCTACCTGAAGGTATGCATCAGACTGGTAAAGCTAACCAAAGAGCCTGTTACCATTCAATTTCGCGAAGATGTCCATATCCAGTGTAAACTCGAAGGAATAAGACCGGGAGGCATGTGGATGGCAGCCACGTCTCATCAGCGGAGCCGGCCCACAGTCCTTCATAGGCAAACACAAGCACACTGTACTTGGAAATCAAGCACACACAAGGCGGTGGCTGGACCGTTGTCCGCTCCACACTCAGTGCATGGAACCACTCTTCGAGCCTAACACGGCAACAAGGACTGTGCACACCGTCCTCTCCAGCAACGACCAACTGTCTCCTGGAGCCAGTATGGACGAGGTGGTGCGTAATAGACAGGTAGGCACCTTGTCAACATGCACGTCAAGCGCAGCCACGCTGGGGATATCAAACAACAACCAACAACTTAAAACGACATGATGAAATAAAATAAATCGGATAATGCATACAGTTACGGAGATATAACTCTTCACTTAATGGGCGATAAGTTCAAGAGGTAAGAAAACATCTTTTAGGGAAATGCCACTAACGCGAACATGTTATGAAAAGTAACTACAATTAGCTTCAGCAACGTGTGCAAGTTTACAGATGATAGTACAAGTAGACGATATGAGAAAGAAAATTATTAGGACAAAATTGAAAACCCACCACCTGGAATAAATAGACTTAGCATGCAAGCACACGATTAGTAAATCGAATGCAGCATACCTACAAATGCTGCGTCTGCTGTCTACGTTCTCTGCATCACCCGTCGTCGATTCGGTGCTTCCGAGTGGCCTCGCTCGTAGCTCACTAGGCCTGCCTGACTCAGGCACTCGCGATCGCATGTGCTACAGCACCATGCGCTCGATGTCGATGGAGTACAACCCATCGGTGCTTACCGCTTCCGCA